AGCGTCTAACTGCTGCAAGAATTTTCCAACTATTAGATACAGTGTGATCCCACTTTCACCATTTTAGGTTCAGTTAGAGAGTGCTTTACTTTTTATCAGATGGGTTTTTCTTATTAACCCAGAGACTTGAAAACTGAAAATTTCATCAATCAAATTCTAATTTACTCTAAACAATGTCAGATAGCTATTTTGATTTATTTTCTCAACAAACATGTTGATTGAATCTATTGGTTGTTTTACTGCTTAGATCCAAAATGGCAGGGTCAAAGGCTAACTACTGAGGGGTAGAAAATTCAGCTCAATTAAAGTGGGCTGTTTCCAATCTATAGGGAATAACTTCAAAAAGTCAGAGTAGGAGTTGGCAATAAATCATAGTCCTATTCCCTTCAGAGTTGCATTTCTACTCATGCGTGCTTGGCTTCTGGAGTTGGAAGACCTGGATTCACGTCCAAATTCCACCACTTACTGGCTATGAAAATCACTAGGCGTGTAAGTTAATTAACCTTTCTAAACCTTCAGTTTTTCTCACCTGTAAAATGAGGGTAATATCTACCGCACAAAAATGTAAGGTTCAAATGAGATCATCTACATAAAAGCATAATAGTATAGTATTTGTTAATAATTAAAGCAATTAGACTATTACTAATGAGCCACAAACCAAACATGTTGAGAAACCTATCATAAAATAAGTTTAAATATTTGTTACATATGGATGGATCAATGATCTAATACAATCTAGCCTTTCTTTTATTTCCTCCTTTGGATTTTAACCTCAAGGATACCAAGTTTTCTACTCCTTTTGTAAGCTTTTCAAATTTACATGAAGTTCTATACCTTTTATTAAGTATAGATCTTTCTATAAAATATTAATATGCATCTCTCTAGAACTGGATAAGCACGGAAGAGTGGATACAAAAGATTAGGACTAAGAATGATATACATAAAGGTTATACATAGTTATACAAAGGTTGTACATGACCAGGAAGAGAATACAGTAACTTTGAGGTGAATATTTGCTGGTTTTGCCTATAGGTATCTATTCCTCCTTTCGTGAGGAAAAAAAAAAAACAAAAACCCTAGTCATACTTTGGACGAAACATTTGCCCTTACTGTCAGCCCACAAGCTTATAGGAAAATGACTCTACTGCGCTACAGATAAGGCCAAGCCAATCAATGCATCCCACCAGCCAGAACACAATCATTTCTTAAGGGCTGGGCATATGATCCGATTGAGGCTAATGAAGATGATTAAAACTCAATCCTGAGATTTCTGTTCAACTCATGAGGATATTGAACTTTTTCTTCCACCTGCCTGGGTATCATACTGATGTGAACAGAAGAATGTAAGGGGTCTACCTGAGAACACATAGAGCCTGAAAATAAAGCCAGCTCGGAGGAGACAAACTGAGAGATGCAGCTGGGGAAAGGGGCAGGATTTGAGATCTGAATCAAGCTGCTTACTGGGACCATATATTTCTTTTTTTTTTTTCTTCTTTGCTTAAGTCAGTTGGATTGGGTGTTCTATTGTTTGCAAGATGACAGATAATCCTAATTTTTCCCAAAGTGTGCGTGGATGAATTTTTTCTTTTTGAATACTAATGGCAATGGATTTCTTTTAATATGTACAAGAAATACATGAATCTACAAATAATCCCATTATTTCATAGATAACACTGCTTAGGAATGAAACAAAATTGTTAAAAAATGAGTTGACTAACCGGATATAAAAAAATTAACTAAATAATGTTAATGGTGATAAATAGGTAAGAAGAATCATGAAGCTATGATTAAATAATGTGGGAAACCATGGATTATCCAGAAGTTGGGAGAAAACAATCTACACCCACTCAGCCTTCTGCATATGGATGCCCATACTACTTATAACTATACAGCACAATGAAATAAATGCAAAATTAAAGTGGGACATTTAGTGTATAGGCCTTAATGGTATTGCAAGCAGAGACAGGGGCTGCCAAGGGAGAAGGAGAATGGAAAGGGCTGCAGATATGAAAACTGAAATAAGATTATTTCTGTATCTTTCTAAGTCCTCGCTGTGTCACTGAGTCTGTGTCATGTGGTAATTTGTTACAAGCTTCCTTGAAAGGGCTCTCAAATATGAAAAAAGTGCAAAGAACATCGCTGCTACGCTGCTTCTGAGCTGCAGCTCCAGAAGACAGCCAGCTGTAGGGTACCTAGAAAACAGTTTGGTTGGATTTGATTTGGTGCCTAAACATTTGGAGCCTTATTTTGGTGCACAGCTTGGTTTCCAACCTCTAGGAGAAAGGTCAACACTTGAACCTCGTGCTCTCCTTCAGGGAATAATTACTAACTTGTTGAACAACTTACTCTTTCAGCTGTGAACACAGCATCTTTAGCACTAGGCAGATAGGCCTGGAAACTGGAGGCCAATTTTATTACAAATGAATCTGTCACAACATACATGTAGGAATAAGAATATTTAAGCCTTGAGAACTTGACTTTTTCTAGTTTAAAAGTCAGAGAATGCCAGGAGAACTCATTTGTTTATTCTATACATTTGAAGTCAGAAATTGAAGCCATCTTTATTATAAATGGTGCTAAATGTTTCAAGATGACCAACTTGTCCAATTTCAGTTCCAATATTATCTAAGCCAGTGATTCTCAATGCTGGCTGCATAAAAGAATTTATCTGGGAGTTTTTTAAAATGCTGATACCAAGGCTCCATCTCATATCAATTATATCAGAATCTCAGGTAAAGGGGGTGTAGGTCACAGTACATTTTGTCGTATTTTGAGTGAGCTGTGTAAACGCATTAATTTTTTAAACTATAAACAATCTAACATGATTTTCATAGCTAGCTTTTCCATTTCTTAACTTGCTTTTTGTAATATATCAAGCCTCTTTTAGAAAGAAAGGGATATGATCAGGGCTTCTCTTGACATATGAAAGGCCTATCTCAGCTTCTTACTCAAATCTTGTCCTAGCCAATCTTGACTAACTTCTATGCTATTCACTTCCCCAGTCTCTGACTAGCTTCTGGCCACTACTAGTGGATTAAAGACGGCCACAAATTTTTAATACTTCACTGATCCTGGTGGTGTCTATTTCCCCTCCCCTTGAATAAAGAGTGGCCTGTGACAGCTTTGACCAATGAAATGTGGTAGAAGTGATGCTTTGTCAGTTTCAGACCACGTCTTTAAGAGCCCAAGCCATCATTTAAGAAGTCTGACTACTAATCTGCTGGAGAGATCACAGGAAGTCCTGAGATTACATGGAGAGGTAGAGAGTTCTGGCTGTGCTCAGCCTTCCCATCAGCCCTACGAAGATGTCCAGCACACAGGGAGGCCATCGTGAACCTTCCAGCCCAGCCTACCTTCCAGCTGAGTGTCCCAGTTAACACCATGTGGAGCAAGATAATCACCTGGCCAAACCCTGTTTGAATTCCTGACCTAAAATATTATGATATATAATAAATAGTTGTTTTTTTTAAGCCACTGAGCTTTGGGGCAATTCGTTATGCAGCAATAGATAATGACTCAAAGTGTGGTCCACTGACTAGCAGTATCAGCATCACCTGAAAGCTTGTTAGAAATGCAGATTCTTGGGCTTGCCCCTAGACCTGCTGGATCAGGATATGCATTTTAATAACATGCCCAGGTTATCTGTATGGACATTCAAGCTCGAAAGGCACTGGGGTAGCCCACTTTTGGCTGTCAAAGACACTCCAGTCAAGCGCAGATGGAGTTCAGTTCCCAAATCAAGTGACTGAAATGAGTGCTCTTGATTCATTTCAAATTCCACACGTGCTCTATGCAAGGCACTGTGAGGATGAAAACTCCAATAGCCCTTCTTGTCTATTTGATGATAGTCCTTTTTAGTGGGGTTCCTTAGTTCCTGAGAGCTATCCTAAGAGCTCCTTGAAAGACAGACCAAGTCTTAAACCACTTTGAAATTCCCAAGAGCCTTACACAGAACTTTTAATTGAATGAATGGAAGAAGAAGCTAAAAAGAAAAACCTGCACCACCTTGCTAAAAATGAGAGAGAGGGATCTTATGTCTACTTTTAATAGATCAGGAAACGAAATGGAAGCAATTAAAATGAAACAAAATAGCACATGTTTTATAAAATTCCTTTTTCTTTTGTTGTTGTTGTTGTTAATGCCATGGAGTCGATTAGGACTCCTAGCACCCCTGTGTACAGCAGAGAGGAACCCTGCCCGGTCTTTTTGCACCATCCTCTCACCTTCCGACGCTGTATCAGACAATGCTCTGCTGCTATTCATAGGGTTTTCATAGCCAATTTTTTCAGAAGTGGGTGGCCAGGTCCTTCTTCCTAGTCTGTCTTAGTCTGGAAGCTCTGCTGAAACATGTCCACCATGGGCGACCCTGCTATTATCTGAAATACTGGTGGCAGAGCTTCCAGCATCACAGCAACATGCAGCTGCCACAGTGTGACAACTGACAGATGGGTGGTGTGATTCCCTGACCAGGAAACAAACCGGGGGTGGTTGTGGCCGCAAGAGCGCTGAATCTTAACCACTAGACAACCATCCTTTTTCTTACCTTTTTCTATTTAAACTTTGTTTTGCATCAACATAAAGGCCATTATTCGACCCAGTGCCAGTTTCACTTGGGGCAGTTCGTTATTCAGACTAACTATATGAGTTATAAGCACCAACTACATCCCGGGTGCCATACTAGGTATTAAGTATATAGAGATAAACATAAAGACTCAGCCCTACTTTCAAGGTGCATAATCCAATAAAGGAGATGGATTCACAAACACAAAATTTCAAGATAATACTAGAAGGCATATATAACTTCATGATTGGCAGGGATCATAAAGAGTTCTAGATTATCAATCCTTTATTTTAATACTTGAATCTATAATAAAATATAATAAAAAATAAGAACCTTTAATGCCTCCTGAGCTGGCCCACTGCATTTCCAAATAGCTCAAATTTTACTATTTTCTTATATTGAACCAAAAATTGAAGTCCCTTCTATTTATCGTTTCTAGGACTATCATCGCAGAGGCTGCACAGAACAAGCAACGCATGTCTGATGGCCTCTCTCTTCTTGGTCGTATAGAAGCCTATGAGTGAAGGGGAGTGGAACTGAGAAGAGAGAGATCTGAAGTAATCAAAACGGGAATTAGGCTAAGTCAATTATAAAAACAAACTGAAGAGAAACAAAGAGCAAACCAAAAAACAAAGGAAACCAATAAAATAATTCAGCACTGGTGCATAAGTTTTTTCAATAGTGTCATGCTGACTCAGAACCAGTCCACAGAGAGAAGTCTTGAGATCCAGAGCTTGCGACAGGTACAAGACACCTAGCAGAAACGCATAGGAAGATCTCAATTTTAATTCAAGAACTACAATAAACATTTCGAGACTACCTACTGTGTGCCAAATCAGGAAAGTATTTAGGGAAATACTAGTAGTCTTTGGAAATAAGTTGCTTATAAAAGTTTCTATTTTGTGTCAGTTGAATAGCCTCCTAGAATGACTCACACACAAAAATCTTACATTACAAAAAGCCTTACCTTTACAGACTCTGCAGCAGCTATGAGACAAGGTAATCTGATGAGATTCTGGACAATCCAAAGCTGGACAGCCTGAGCTCTCAACCAGCTTCATGGTCTGGTCCTGTTAGACAATAAAAAAGAATGCTTCAAACTTCTTAATTAGGACTTACTAAGAAGTTTCCAGATCCAGCATCCGAGAAGGTTCTTCTAACATGAGAGTAAAATTTTCACCCCGAGAACCTCTGCACAAATCACAGGGTTACTTGCAAAATGAGCTTAAGTCACAACCAGAAAGCCTTTAAAATGGACCGGCAGCTCTGGGAATGAAGCACACTCCACTGCAGCCATGTCTTCAATTTGCCAAACATCTGGGTAATCCTGAGACATTCTGTTAGTTTTACAACATATTTGCACATCCAGATGACAACTGTGGCAAAGATACAGCTTGAATTAGATGCACAGCTTACTTTGAAAAAATAAACAAATAAAAACTAAGGTTTTTAAACATTCTCATTTCAAAGTTTTCTAAAGTGTTACAAAGAGATTCTCACAAGTAAGACTGGGAAGGAATATTGGGGATCTCCCAGAAAACTATAAGGAAAATGAGGGCAGGATTTTTGTCTTTGTGAATGAATGCCTAGCATAATTTCTGGCACATAATTGGCACTCAAAAAAATTTCCTGAATGAATGAATAAAGCAATGTAAAATGAATATAGTTCCAGCAACCAAAGTAGATAAAATTCTCAAGGAGAAACCAAAATACAAAATACTTTTCTGATAAATATAGTAACCGGCTCTCAAGGCAGACTTTTGGCTTCTATGCTATCAACCTCCAATCTCTCCAGAACAAGGGTCATTACCCATGCTGTATTATGCTTACCAGTACATAAGTAGTAAAATAACTATTAGAACTTGCAGGCTTCCATTTTAAAACTGCTCAATAGCTTAGGTTTTTAGACATCATTTTTGTAAGTACTGCTCTATTGAAAAAATACTCATTTTAATATCTCCCTCTTCTATGGAAAGGACCTTCTCCAAATCATCACAATCTCTTACCAAGAAAGTGGCAGGAGACAAGGAGACACGGAGACATGTATACAGTAGAGTTAAATGCTATTCTGCCTTTGGTTTGATAGCAATAGCCATTCTGATCACCTTATTTTCAGAACCGCAGTGTTTTTCTGTGTTACTATCAAGTACACATTTTCAAGGCCACAAAACTCACAATAAAAGAACAAGGAAGGACTAGAATTGACAGGTAAGAAAATGGAAGCCTGAGAGAGCTGTCAATTATGTCAAGGTATAAATACAGAAACTAAGGGGCCTGAAGGGAGAAGAAACAATGGAAGTCCTTAACATCAAGAATCTTAAATCAAGAACTACAAAAGCTTATGATAATCCAGTAGAGCTGTGCTGTATAATCAATAGCCACTAGCTACAATGTAGCTCTTGAACACTGCAAATGCAAAATACACACAAGATTTTGAAAACTTAGTTTGAGAAAAGAATGTCAAATATTTCGTCAAGAATTCTATACTGATTACATGTTGAAAGGATAATATTTTGGATATTTGGATTAAATAGAAAAAATTTAGCCCAATAAAAATGACATGTGTGGCTTGCGTCACACTTCAGTTGGACAGCACGGCATTAGAGGATAGGAGATGGTGCTTTTGTTTGAGTAAATAAAAGGTAATATTGGTTCATTCGCCCCAAATTTACTAAGCACCTGCAGAGTTGCCTGCATGCAGACTTCTCACTAAACCAATTTTAAATGAAATCATTTTATACCTATTTTAAAATCAAATAGGCAATTATCCCAGTAAATTTCTAAACCATAATTATCAGTATTTTGGAATACACTGGTCAAATGAAAAGAATACACACACACACATTAAGGAGAGAAACTTCAAATGCCCTCAAGATTTTTTAATTTAGAGCTGATATTTCAAAGTTAGACTTCACCATTAGAAACCAGCTGACAAGTCTTCCACCTTCCTTGAAGTAACTCTTCTCTGATTCCCTTTTCTCAATCTTGAGTTCCTAGATCTCATTCCAAGTTTTTCAATCTTTATATCTTCAGTGGGACCTACTTCGCTCAAAACAGCATTGGTGTAGGGATGCTGATAGAGAAAAGTCCATCTAGAAGTACAGGTTCAGCAATTCGTGTTAACGTTCCTATGCCTCAGCTCCCTTATCTTAAGATGGCAACCTACTTCATGAGGAAATCCGATCTTTCATGTTCCAGGAATCAAATCTGTCACGGTTTTGCCTCTTTAGGACTTCTTCTTGCTTATCCCAAAGGTTTTCCAACTTAAGATACATGAGGGTATGGCTGGCTTTTTTCAGAATCAACTTATCTTGGCAAAATTCTTAGGATTTTCCTTTCCTGAACATTTAATAATCATATAAATGCTTAGTTTATTGGTGATGCCAGCAGAGTAAATCACTTATCTTAAATTTCTACATAACATACATACTAAATCTTCCCCAAAACCTACGTACAGAAGGCATTTAAAGAGGAAAACTAAAGATCAAATGTAAATGGAACCATAAAGAAGAAACTCTATATGTAGACTTTATATTCTTTCAGACAGACTATGATTGGAAATATAACATTATGGTGAAGAAATATAACATTATAATTTACAAAAGGCAAATGTGAAAAGTGTTATGAAACATATTTAGTTTTTCAATTAGTAAGGAGGTCAAGAAGTAGAGTTAAAAGGAATCACCTTTGCTTTAGAAGCACACGTCAAGAGACCATGGCATGAATTTATAAAGAATTCCCCTTCAAATCATTTAACAAATTCCTCCCAAAGGGATTGAGATCAATATCAGTCTCACCTCCACCCAACAGCTAATTTTTACTAGGTAATTTTTATGTTTTGTTTTTAGTTGGACTGAGTGAGATTTCTCACATGGGTCAAAACCATAAGTGACAGCGGCTGAGTCTTTAATGCTCATTTTCTTCACAACAGCAAAGAGCTGATTTGAATTTGGAAAATATAAGACAATTTCATAAAACTTTAATTTTACAAAAGATCATTTTTATTTATTGGGGAAAATATTTATAGTCATTAATTTACATATTTTAAAAATAATGGAAATTTCTATACATCTGAACTATAATTAATATCTAAATATTCTCTTTGCCTTAGAAGTTTTAAAGGTATTACAAGGATGAGATTTTAAAGAAACATTACTGTGTTTATATAATTGAAAGAATTTCAAAAAACCCATGAAGTTTCCTTACCTTGCACTCATAGAGAACACACACTCCAGAAGAGGAATAGACCGTATTTCTTTCTCCTTCAAAGTAGGTTCGTCCTTGAAATTGGCATATTGCTTTGGAATAAAAAATACGTATATGTTTATTTTTTATTAGGAAAAATAGTTTAGAGGTGTTCAGATCATTTTGCAACAATATTTCACATGTTCTTATGCCTTTTCGAGGTGTTTGAGTAACTACAAACCTAAATTCAATCTAGCATAAGGCACATGTGGGCTCGAGTAATTATCACGCCCACTACATTCAGAGAGTCAAATCAAGTACAAGAAGGAATAGGGGCAATGGTAAGTCAGATCTAGACTCTGGAAAAGGAGTGCCAGTAAGCAGACTCTCAGCCAGTCATTTGCCTCCTTGGTGATGTCCCACTTAGGGCATATTAAGCAGGTGCTTAGGGCAGCTACAAATCAGGGGCACCATAAATATGAGAAAAGTTCATTTTTTATATACCATTACAGAATTTTAAAATAGAAAATTAGAAAGAAGCTATGTTAGCTTCAGCACATATATGTGAATTTTATGTTTTATGGGTTAATATTATTTTATTTGTAAGTACACATGGGTTAGGGCACCCTATTTAGGATGTTGAAAGGTCTTAATCTGGGCCCGCCTTGCTTCCATCACAATTAAATAAAATTTTAAAGTAAAACTCCAGATTTGATGGGGAAAACATACTTTTAATTAGTGAGAATGCACAGAAAGTATCAAATCATTTTGGAGACTCTCAAAATATTTACAATTCACACAAACGTTTAGCCAATGGAAATTGTTTGCTTGTTTTGAAATGAATATTTCACACTATCCATGTTGACTCATCACCTAAACAGAGACAGATGCACCCCCTGAAGCTACGGAGACTTAACCTTCAGGATCCTTCTCTGGCTTAGACCCCTAAGACTCTGAACTAACTTTTGTCTTCATAATTTTGTATTGTTTCTCTTTGAAAGGGCAACTCAATATTGTAGACATTTTGGAGCTCCAGAACACCTAGATCACCCCAAGCTAATTACTTTCAAAGGCCAGTGGACGTGACCGTCTGATAGGAAAAGATTCAGGCAATGTGTTGGCTCTATTTACTAAATCCAATTTTTAATATTAACAACACGGATTTTACAAAATGGATGTGTACATTTCCTTTTAATTCCATTGCATGAATTAGAAGAAAATCTTTCCCTCTTCAGAATTTACATATTCCCACTACCTTCTAAAGTATTAAGTTACCTATAATAATCTGTAACAAAGAAATTAGACATACTTTTATCAGTATTGAACATATACATGATTGTACAAATATTCATATTTAAAGTGCAACCCAACTTTCATCTTCGCTGAAAAATTAACTGATTATTTAGAAGCTGCACATTTAAATAATGGAAAGCATGCACATTTTTAAAATGCCGTCCTTCAACTGATCTCCTTACTCGGCT